AAGTAGAAGGTTGGTCATAGATCTTCGCCTCACACGGGATAATATGTATAGAATTGGATTGTATTAGATTGAATGAAATTACATTAAATCAAATATAATGTTTAACTGATTGCTGGATAAACTTGGTAAGATATAAATATTTATATGAATAGACGAAAATAACCCAATACTATTGCAATTTAGTTAATTAACCTATTATAATATTTTTTTTTCAGATTTAAGAATCATATATATTAAAAAACCAATGAGTTCAATTTGGAAGAAATTTAACAAGAATTGAAAAAAAAAAATAAAAATACGATGAACAGATTCTTGTTTGTTTTTTGGGAAAAAAAAATTAGAAAAAAACGGAGCAAAAAATGAAAAATGATCACATGTTCAAATTATCTTTATGTAAAATGTGAATTACAACTTCCTGCTCATCCTCATCTACGCAATCCATGAATGCCTATTTAACAACCAAACAAATCAATTTCAATTTGGATTCAATTGATGTTTCATTATTCCGATACCACCATTTTTTCCGACATAGTTTTGACTTGAAACATCTTACCTCTCTAGATTTGCTCTTTTGATGCTTTTCCATTGTCGACCTGCCAAGATTCGTGGATTTTGGGGCTACTCTGCCTTCTTTAGCATGTCTTTCTCTTTTCTAGAATTAGATCTGTGAAGGTCGTTACTAGCTTGTATTTTCTGGCATCTATCTTTGAACCATACAGACAACATTCTAAAGTAAGGGAGCAAGTCATCGGAGATAATAGAAGAGAAGATGAAGTAGAAGGAATATGAAGGAGAAGATGGATTCTGGCCATTGACGAGAAAGATGATTTTTAGCTGTTGACGGAGAAGATGAGTTCTAGCACCAACGCCGAGGTGCCTAACAGATTTATGACGTCGAACTAGGTTGGAAAAGGGAGAGAAGAGGAGCTCGTTTGGAGCCCTGGCTAAATAGTGGGATAGGATATATTTTTTGTCCAATCCCACTGTATCACACGTTCAGTGGGCTAAAGAGATGGGATGATGTGTATCCCATTTCATATCCCATCCTGTCTCCGTTAAATGAATCTTATCCCACGCAGCCTCTAGCCAATCATTTTCTGTCCCCTTCCCAGAATTTCATGCCAACGCCATCAGAACCCATCTCCTCTGTCAACATTCAAAAACAGCTCCTCTTCTTCTTCCTTCGCATTCTACTTCTTTGTGACTTCACCTTTCTTCCTCCTCTTGCATCTTCTTCTCTTTTCTTCCCCTTTCTTCCTCCTTCCATCCTTCTTTCCTCGTTTTTTGTCAAATCTTAAGACTAGAACAATATCAATTGCAAGAATTAGAGTGGAAAACAACCAGGATTGGTGCATGGAGACTCCTTTTTGGCTGCAATTTTGGCTCCTTTTTAGTGGGTCTCCAACATCTTTTCACGGATCGATACTCAACTACCTTGTAGATCTGAATTGCGGATAGAAATTGTTTGTGCTTCTATGTTGTGTGTCTTTCTAGCCTCTATTATTCTAAAATTTGTCAAATGATATCAGATGAATTTTGCTCATTCGAGTTGTTTTTTGAAAATTAGAACCTGTTAATAAAAATTTGAGACTACCCAGAGGATCCAATATTGCAATTTTGATTTTTGCGTAATTTTTCTGAATTTGCTTTATGGAATTCAGGCTGTTAGAGATTTGTCATGCTTTATTTCATTTCATCCTCATCCTTTTTTAAAAAAAAATTTTTGAAATTAATGAAATCTGAAAAATTATAGCAAATTTCATTATTGTTTGCTCTTTTATTAGTTTAGTTCGTAGAATTTAGAGATATTTGAAAACAAAATTTGGGTTCGCTTGAACATGAGGATATAGTGATATAACCTTGTTTGGTTGTTTGGTTCTTGGGAAAACAAAGGAAAATACTATTAATGGCAATTAACTTGAATCTTTTTGTGGTTTAGCGGATTGGTTCCAGTGGAAACAGAGTAAAATATTGAAGGTAATTAACTAGAATTTTTTTTATATTTTTCAGCCATTTAATTAATAATACCATTATTAATGATGAATTATGTTGTAAAACAAATTAAAACAAAATTTTGATCAATGTAATTGTGATAAGGGTAGTTTTGTCCATAATAAATAATATTTTAATCTAAAATCCTATTTTTTTCAACAATCAACCAAACATACCACTAGATTTAAATATATTTCTGTTAAAATACAGTTTTATCCCACCTAATCCTATGGGGAGGTGGGATACATTTTATTTAGTTTAGGTGAAGCAAGATAAAACGTGGGATGAAGTCCATCCCATTCTTTGGGCTTCCCAAACATAAGACACAGCTAAATAAGATAAAAATCTTATCCCATCCCGCTGTGAATACCACCCTCTAAACCTACTGTAAAATTCTCGACCAACCATTTTTGCATCTAACCCTTAACGGTTAGTTTATTATTGATGTTGAAATGTTAATTTTAGGTCCCTAAACTTTAAACTTTAAACTTTACACTTTTTTATCCCTAAACTCATTTAAGTACTTTTTTTTTGTCCCTTTATTCTTACATGTGTAGAAAAAGTGTCCTTATTGAACAAATTTCATCCCTTTAATATAGATTTTTATGATTAGTTCAAGGACCAAATTAGTGCAAGGACCAAAAAAGTGTAACGTTTAAAGTTCAAGACCAAAAAATTAACATTTAACCATGATTGATTACTCCATGTAATCAATAACAAACTAATACTCAAGTATTTATTAAGATGGTTGTGCCATATTCTTCTTTATTGCTTCAATTGATACAAAATCCTTATAATTTTGTATAGAAGAATATCTCTTTTTTATATTTTAAATTATATGCTTCAAATGTTTTTTTTGTTTTAGGCATTATATGTGATCAGCTGAATTTATATACATGTTAATGTGAAATTATTGCTTTGATATTGTTGATATTTAGATAAATTTTATGAGATTTTACTTGATTTTACATAATTTTTAGTTTTTGTATAGAAAAAGACTTAATTGAAAGAAATCATAATTTTTAGGAGTAAATTGCAGATATCAGAAACTTTAGGATCAACGTGTGCAGAATCCAGAAGTCAGGGACCAGGACTGTTATTTTACCATTACAGAAATTGCTAAGAAGGCCAAAAACCCGACACGGTGATGCATAGTGCGCTGAACAGAAAGTGTCGGCACCTTGTTAAAGGCGTTAATTCCTTACGCGATTTTCACAAAATCCATGTTTAATTGGTTATCATGAGTGTGAGTCTCACTTTTATTTCAATTTGAGTTTCTAAAATCCTAAAAATACTAATTTAAATTCAGAATTGAGGGAGCAAAAGGAGGCTGATAGCAGCTCTTTTTTAGACATTCTTGGAGATTAATATAGAGGATCAATTAATAATAAGAAATCAACGAATTCAATTTTTTCAAATTAGATTTTGTTTTTCCTTTGATTCTTTTTATCTGTTATTTGATATTCGAATGTTCATAATTATAATTTTAAGTTTTATTATTTTTATTATGAACTAATTTATTCTACTAAAGTTATTATGTAACCTAATCAATTTAATATAAATTTTGTGATTTTATACTTTCAATTAAAGTTATTCGTATGAAGAGTTTATATTATTGAACTTAATACACTAGAATTCTGATCACCTTTCAATTGATTTAGTGATTTATGCATGAACTTGATAAAGAATTGTATAAATTAAACTAATAATAATATAAACTGTGTGCTAAACTATGAGATCAAAAGGTAATTAGCTCACATGTGGTGGTGAAAAAAGATAAAAGAGTTAGGAGCTCCTCATTTTTAAGCTAGAGGTATCCATAGAATTGAATACTCATTAACTTGCTTAAAATTATATAGAGATATGATTAATTTAATAAACAAGTAAAGTATTAACTTGACCTGAGAAAACTGGTTAATTAATTTAAAGAAATCCACCATCACATGCAATAACACTTAACAAATTGGTTGTGAAAGTGTATTAGCTCAGAATTTATATTAATTGATTATGATGAAATTAATGCCTTAGTACCTCATATCTTGATTGACTTTATTTTAATTGTTTTTTTTTATTAAAAGTTTATTCTCCTTTTCGATTGTTCAAATAAATTTAAATTAATTATTTTGATACTTAATTAGACACAATCTTTATGGATTCGACACTCTTCTTATCATTATATTACTTGGAGCAACTAGTACAATTGTTAAAGTAATTTTAGTGCATTAATATAATTCAAACATTTAAGCTTTAGGCTTTCTATGTCCTATAGAGACTTTTATATAGAAATAGTTTTAAGTAACTATCGAAATCAGATGTTACAATATTCATGAAATGCATTTTAAAATCCTTTAGAGACTTCTAAAATAATAAATTAAAACACAAGAACAATGAAACTTACCATAGGAGAATAGATCTTTTCTCAAATAGATAATTTTATCTCAAATTCTTATCTCAATAATTTTACCTCAAAAGAGAAACAAACTCTCGTCAAGAGAGAAGGGAAACTCATTCATCATTCCTTGCTAGTAGCCATGGGGAAGAGAGATTGTGGTGGCTATGTAATACCTTGAATTTTTTTTTTTTTTTTTTTTTTGAGCACCTAAATTTTCAAGAAGGCTTATGTTGAGGAATTAATTGTGAAATAATAACTAATTTATTTATTTATTTATTTATGTAAGGGATGACTAATATAAACGAGGATTTTAATAGGGGATCAAGTTGTCTAACTCTTCAATTTTGGAGACGTTAATAGTACAAAAAGAGACAGAGAGAGAGAGAGAGGGGACGAGGGACGAGCAAAATAAACAAGGGAAATCTAATTTCGTTTTCTAGCTTTCCTCTTCTCTTTTTTTGGTTTTCCTCCTTTTTCATTCTAAATCCAATACCCTTGAAGTTGTTAACCTCCTAATCTCTCTATGAAGCTTCTTTTTCTTTTTCTTTTTCTTTTTCTTCTTCTTCTTCTTCTAATCAAAATTACTGTCGTTTGTTATTCCTTCTTGTCCATGATTCATCACTCTTCTTCTTCTAATCAAGATTACTGTTGTTTGTTATTCCTTCTTGTCCATGATTCATCGCTCAATTGGTGTTCTTTCTACAACTTTTCTGGTAAGAAAATAGCCACTGTTCACTTTTCATTCTTGATTTAGTTAGGTTAACTCTAATATTTTATTATCTTTGATTTTGGGGATAGTTTTCCATAGTCTTCCTCATTGCCAAATTTGGTCTCCCTTGTTGCGAAACTAAGTAGCAATGATTTCGAACTTGATTTCTAATTTATTTAGTTGCTATTTTTCTATTGTCTTACCTAGAAAATCCTATTGAGAAGCATTTATTTTCTACTTTAAAACTCCCTTGTAAATGGCTCAATTACGTGTAAAAATTTTGCACTATTTCAATCCTTGTTATGCTAGGTTTTAGTTAGATTTTAGGTCCAAAAGTGTGCTATGTCGAAAGACAATCAACATTTTCCCTACTCTTGAACTACACTCTTTTAAGCATGATATGGACCATGACTAGGTTGCTTAAGTTCTAAATTGACAACTTGACCCTATATTAGTATTCTAACCATAACTTTGTTTATAAATGTCAAATCAAGGTGAATTTTTATTCTAAGAAAGCTAAGATATAGCCCAACTAATTATCTATTGAATGTTCAACCCAGTTGAGTTGTTATCAAGTTGAAAACTTAGCTGCTAGATTTAGTTCTTGAGGATGATCAGAATTAGTAGCTTGACCTTGTGTTAGTAATATAACCATAATTTCCTCTGTAAATTTCAGATTAAAGTGATTCTTGGTCCTATAAAAAGTTAAGACATAGAGCTCCAGTTGATCTGTGAACCATTCAACCCAATTCGATTGACTTTTGGGTGAAAATTCAATAGAAAATTTTGGTTCAAGATCTGACCAAAGCTTGCCCCCAAGCTCTTGTTGGTCTAGGTTCAATTTCATAGTCTTTGGCCGTATTCTTTGGCTTTACTCTCTGTTTCCTACATATCCTTGATGTCTAAATTCTTGATTCTTGAGAAATCTTAATTCTCTACAAAATGAGGTAAATGAATTTACGGTCTTGCCAATTGTTCTAAACTAAGGTTTTAAGAACATATTTTTGAACTGTTTAAGGTGATAGTAGGACTTGACCTGATTTATGTTGATATTGGCATGGCATGCCTTGTTATTAAGTTTTGTAATTGTTATTTATTAAAGCTTGGGCATGCCCTTTTCATGAGATATACCCATTGAAACAATTTGAATCATGTTTGCTATTTAAATGCATGTATTGTTTTATTTTTGATTCTGTCATAATACCTGTTATCCTGCCAGTGAAATTGCAAATACTAATATTCTTGTTATCCTACCCATGGAAGTGTAAATACTGATTACTTTTGTTATCTTGCCAGTGAAAGTGTAAACTTATTGTTGTTATCCTACTAATGAGAGTGTAAACACTAACCATCACTAATTAAGAAGAATACTAAAAGATTTTTATTATGCATTATTGGATTGAGACTGGAAATATTGTTTTGATGTTTTGCATCCGTTATACTTTCTTGTAAATTAAAGAAGGGGTGCTA